CGCCTGTAGTTCCAGCTACTTGGAAGGCTGAGGCGGAAGGAGCGCCAGAGTCCAGCAGGTAGAGGCTGCGGTGGTCAGGAGCATGCCACTGCACTCCAGCCTAGGCGACAGAGTGAGACTCCAACTTAAAAAAAAAAAGACTTATCTTACCAAACATCACTTTTTTCTATAGATGTCTTAGTCAAAAAATTATACCTATGAAAACACTTAAAGCTACACAACACTAAATCCCATGTACTTCAAAAAATTCCCAGGTTAGCATAACATAGATTGTCTGTCTAACTCTGTCTTCTTTCAAGTTAGTTGCCCAAGGTCACTTCTAAAGTGTTGTGGCCCCAGGTAATGCTTCTAGAATGAGCTCCTCTTAATTATGACACCCTTCATGGAATCATGCCTTAGAGACTGCTACTCACAGTGTTTAGATTCAAATTGCTGGTCAGTGGGGCCAGCTGATGAGAAGCGTAGCCCCCAAAGCTATGCAATTGAAGAATATTAATACACAGGGACTAGAGAGCTTCTCTGTCTATACTTTTGTTATTAAAATATTTTTCCCCTAATTCCCTGAGTGACTAATTTACTCATTTCCTTTAAATACACCACCTCAATTCCTGTTTGTTTAAATGATGCTTCTCAAATAAACCTGTTTGATTTTGTAAATCGGTTTTGTAAACTGACCCTCTCATCACGGCATTCCAGAAACCTCTACCTTTACCTTGCTTTGATGTTTTGTTGTTTCCATAGTTCATATATCAAGTGCATAGTTTACTTTATTTATAATTTATTTGATGTATCTTCACTAAAATTTAGGTTTCATGGGGTGAAGGAATTTTGTGTATTGTGTTCTCTATGGTATCTCAAACGTTTAGCAAAGTGCTTGGCATACAGTAAGAGCTCAAAGCATATTTATTGAATGAATAAACATATCTCCTATAGCAACAATGGTGGAAGCATATAAGTCAAACAATGTACTAAAAGAGTTTTTAAAAATGCTATGAAGAGGCACAGAAATGTACATTTTCTTGCTGGGGAAAAATAAGAATTATATTGCTTGATTCTATAATTTGTTCATGAATTCTGGGAAAGGATAAATGGGCATTTTTCCTCCCTAATAGATTTTGGTTTCCATTTCTCTTGGTCACGATGAGTGTTAATTACTGATATAAAACTAGAAACAAAAGTTAGTACACAGCCTTTATGCTTTCCTGTGGTCAAGGCCACAGCCCAGGTTTTAGACAAATACGAACATCAGCTGATATACAGTTGCTGTTTTTATTCATTCTCCTTCCCACAAGCAAGTGGGATCATTAGTTAACACAGTGTTCTCCCTAGGAAACATCAGTTGGTACGTTGGTGAATTCCCCAAGAATCCTATTTCCTACCAATTCACCATTTTAAGACATTTTTTTTTTTTACTGTCAAACTCAACAACAATTTTAAGCAGTAGAACTAGAAGGCTAGGTTCATCACCAATGAAGTTTGTCGGCCTTTATTTTCAGACATTAAAATTCAATCAAATGAAGATCAATACAGAAACTCTTCTTGGATACATTCTGAATTATTACTATTTCACATTATTTTGTTGAAAAAATAAGATGTATATGAATGCATGTATATTTGTACATGTCTTCACCGTGCCTATCATGAGAGTCAGTGGGATGCAATGAAAAGCATATTGACTTCAGAGCCAAATGGGCCTGTGCTTGAATATTACCAATGCCAATTTATACCCCTTTTGCTCTCAAAAAGGTCCCATTTGGATAATAAACTCTATGCAACTCTAGGTATTCTTTATATTTAGTAAATTTGCAGCACTGTCATAATTACTGGCCAACAGTTGGTACACAATAAAAGGCAGACATGGTTTAACAAATGTAAATGTAGTTCAACTTTCTCAGCATCATCATTAAAGTAACATCCTGACAGCCAAGAGAACTCTAATAGTTATTAGCAAAGAAACTGGAAGGATGTCTATATAGCAACAAATATGAAAATATCAGGAAGAGATTACTAGCTATGACATTTTAAAAAATGAAGGATAGAGGCAGCAATGTCAAGGTCATCAGGAAACACAGATTCTACTCCTGCCTGCCTACCATTGAGCACTTATCTGAAGTATACCTCTACAGGGAAAAAATATTTCCAAACTACTTTGGAGAAATACATTTCTACCTCATGAAATTACTACAGTATGCTGTCCAAGGAAATGAGGGATTTTCTTTGGGGAGGAAACAAACACATCTACAAATAGCAACAGTAATGATCATCCTTCTTGCAGTGCTTCCTCTGTGCTAAGCACAGGGTCTGGCATTTTCATGCCTGGTTTCCTGCCTTTCAACCCTGCAACACAGGCAGTATTATTAAACACATTTACTGAAAAGGAAAATGTTTTCAAAAAGTTGTAGATCTTGTTCAAGGTGATGCAGCTAGTAAGTGATGAAGATACAATTTTAATCCAGATATATCCAACATCAAAAGAAACAGAGACCTCAGACTTATGCCATTTCCAAGCTTCTGTTTTGCTACAAAATTGTGAAAGACTGAGCACATCTACTTAACACAATGAGGAAGGATTCCGTGAGACTGTGAGTTAATGTGTAAGAGATCTAGAACGGTATCTACGTTCTTCACTTTAGAGGTAAGTAATGGTAAGAATCTAAGGGGTCATTTTAGTAAAAATGAACAATCAGTATGTAAAGAGTGTGTTCAATCAATACTGAGTCCAACTGGGAAGTGAGGAGTGAGTGATTAAGTGGTAAAGAGTCTGACAACAGATTCCCGCCTCTCTAATACATCGCATCAGGTTTTAGGAAGAGCAAAGCTGCAGTCCAACATCTGTAAGGTTTGTAACCCATCTGCCCTTCATATATCACCAAATGACTAATTCATACAAGCACCTATTTTTGCCTCATTTTACTTTTTTCTGGGGGAAATAATTCTCTAATTTTAGAGGCTACAAAAAAATTATAGAAAACATCTATCTTAACGAGCTACAGATTTAACAGATATAGTTCAGGACAACTGTCCAGCAGGAATGACCACAAATCCATCCCTAATAGACTTCTGTCATTATCAAACCGGCCCACCATGAGCTAAAAGCCTAAATAAAATTGCAATGCAGGCCTTTACCCGGAGTTATAGAGCCAGGCAAAATATAACCAATATCAAGTTGTTAAAATATAGCTATTAACTAATGACAACCCTTTGGCTCCAAGAGAGTTTCTAATAGAAACGATGCTAAAAGTGGCAATGCAGTTTAAAGAAAAAAACTGAGCTACAATCAGGGTACTACCTGCCACTCATTACCTATATAACTTCAGGAATTATTTAATCTTTCCAAGCATGAATGGCCTCATTTGCAAAAGGGAGATGCGATAAATGACTTCTTAGGTTGCTATAAGGATTAAGTGTGTTATGTCAGATAATAATAACTAGTGGATCCCGAGCATTTACTATGTGCCAAGCACCAAATAAATAAATACAGCTAGTAAACTAAGGCACCAGAATTAGGTTACTTGATGAAATTCAGATAATTAAAAAGTCCCAGAAACAGGGTTTGAACCCAGAGAGTCAGTACCAAAGCCCATGATCTTCACCCACTCTCCCACACTGCCAAGTATGGAAATCCTATACTGAGTAAAGACTCAGTAAATGAGTCACAGCTACTTTTATTACTGTTAACATTCCCATCACCACACCAAATGAGGTTATATATCAAAATACACTAAAGAATGTATGATACCTGGGACACTGTCGCAGCAGATCTCCTTCAACAATGCAGGCCTCTTTCTCAAGAAGTTCAGGGCACTCCTTTCCACCTCCAATAGCAATGTGCTTCACGTCCCGACTCCTGCTTCTAAATCCTGGCAAGAGACTTCCTGAGCGACATGTCTTAGAGCAAGGGCTCCAGGAGGACCACTCTGAGGTTTCACAGTCTTTTGGCATGATGCAGGACTGAACAGTCAATGAGAAGGAGTCTTGCATGCAAAGGCTGAAGGAATAGAAGCAGAAAACAGGAAGCCAGAGATTAAGGGATGCAAACAACAATATGAGGTACCAACTTGGAGGAAAAAAACGCTGATATCGGATTTAAACATTTAATAGGAAGATTTTTTTAAATGCTGGAGGCAACAGGATAAAATATTGGAGGATATAGCATTTTAAGAATGTGTACTCTACTTCATTGGAAACAGGGAAGTTGTTTCACTCTAGCAAGACACACATGTAGATGGGTCCATCATTATCATCATCATCAGAAATAATATAGGTTTTCCTAGGTGCTTCCCCCAATGATGTAACCTTTTATAACCATATATTGACTGACTGATTTTATTGTCTTCGCTATGTGGATAAGAAAACTTAGGTTCAGGAAGGCTAAAAAATTTGTCTTCTGTCATACAAAGGTTATTGTCAGCTTTAGCATATACATCTCTCCACTCATGTAAATACTGGGCTATAAAAAATGTGATATTATGTTTCTCCATATTGTTAAGCTTCAAGCATCAGTTTCCTCATCTGCAAAATGCATATGCGATCAAATACTAACAGTCTAATTGGGAAACTGGTAAATAAATAAAAAGATAAAATAATGTGATAATGTGATGAACTCAACATAAAAGCACTTATAATGACGGGAGAAACACTGATGAGGCAATGATGAACCACCTGGGAAGACGGGGGATGCTCAGAGAAAAAGACATCTGAGCTGCAAGTTTAAAAGATTAATGGGAGCTTCTCAGGCACAGAGGGAACACTATTCTAAGTGAAAGGAGCTGCATATTCAAAGCCTTGAAATAATACCTTGTGGGGATGGGAGCCAGTGGTGTGCTGGAGCAAGCTATACTGGCTCACAAAAGCCAACTGTTAAATTTTCAGGAATTCGCAAGACACTTGACTTCATATAAGCTTAAAATTCACAAGACACTTGACTTCGTATAAGCTTAAAATTGACCAGGGTAATTTACACTAAAGAATTAGCAAATGCTATCAATCGAGCCCCTCTCCCCAATCCCTGAGAACTGGTTGGTAAACATTTTTTTATAAGCACACCACCAAAGGAAAGCATAAGCCAATATGTTTTGCTGAAGCATAAAGTGCAAAGAGGAAAGTGGATAGAAATGAGGTGTGTGAGTTCTTCCAAAGTAGGTCTGGAAAGGCATCGTGTCATGGGCCGAGGAACTTGGATTTAATTGGGCATTATGATTTTAAGTGGGAAAAAAAGCAGACACATATAAGATGATATTTCAAATATTAATGGACATTCTTTTCTCTTTGTCATGTCTTTGTTATTAGTTCTTCCTTTATTCAGTCAAAGCAACCATTACTTTAGAGGAAAAGGATAATATTCATAAGAATATAAACTAAGGAGTTGGTCCATGTTAACATACTGACAGACAAGTTTGGGTAACAGTTCTTCTGTATGCGGTGAAAAAACAGGAGGAAGTCTTAAATTGATTCCATGTTTCTAACTTGGAAAAAACATGTAGATTGGGGAACTACAACTTACAGATGATAGTGTTCAGGGTAGAATAAATCATGCTCATATGTAGACATATTGATAAGCAAATTATCGTAAGATTTCCATATTTATATCACTCTTGAAGTCACTGGGAGTTAATGTGGTGTTCATAAGGAAAAGGCAAATTGACATAAGACAAACCTTTGGGTCAATATTTGATTTAAAAAAAAATCCGAGAGGGACCTGACGAGTGCTGAGTTCCAGGCGCCCCACCCCCTACCCTGACCCAGCAGTGGGACAAAGGATGTGGCCTGAAAAGGATGAGGAAGAACTCCAAAGAGATCAGTGATCTAGATTCAAAGGGCTTATGTGGATCAGACTTCCAGCAAGATAGCGACGGGGCAACCTGGTCTGTGAAACCCTCTGCAAAGGAGAACTGCAGTGGGTCTCTGGCTCTCGCCCGGAGGGCTGCAGACCCCAACATCGCAGCCTGCTCTTCATACGAGCCCAGCCATTGCCACCGCTGGGGCATTGCAGCAGACTGGACAGCCACTGCGGCACAGACGCCGCCGCCGCCACCGGTAGCATATCGCACCACACGAGCCGGAGGCAATCCATGACTTCAGTCCTTGAAGCCTCTTCAGGGAAGATCTGCTGGGATCACTGCCTCCTCTCCTGCGACCGAGATGTCCTGCCCGCCATGAGTCTCCTGTCATGTGCCCTGAGGCAGGTATCCATCTCCAGCCTCTGTCCGGTTCCTGTCCGGCCCCACCCCCTCTAGGGCAAGCAGCTGAGATAGCACCACCTGCTGGCGATTCAAGGTAACAATACCAAAACGGGAGAAACAAGCTTGAAAAAGACATAGGCCAGAGTGGTGAACAGAGGGTGATCTGAACTGTCCTTCACAGCAGACCAGGGGCAACTGACCTTAAATACAAACTAATTTACCAGCTTGAAGAGACAGCTAGAAATCAGAACTGAAAGGACATTGGACTTAAACGAAAAGTCTCAGAATGTGCTTCATTGATTCTGTTAGTTTAATGACTTAATGCCATTCCTACTGTATTGTTCCTTTTTTTTTTGCCTCTTCATTTTCTTCTCTTTTCTTCTCTCTGCAACCATATCTTTGTATAAAGGAACAGCATACCAATAAGGTGGTTGGTTAGCGTGTATGTTAGCACCACTATATGTTTTATTTTTTTTTTGTATGGGAGTTGGTTCGTCTATAGCTGTGGTCTATTGTTTTCATCTGTTTCAGTATAGGTCACTCTCTCCATTTGTTGGCACACTCATTTGTTTCCCCCCTTACTCCTCTATCTCTCCACCCCCCTCTTCAACCCACTGTCTGCTCCATTCTCTCCCCTCTGCTAACCACATTTTATTTCAGGGAGTAAACCTACAGCCCCACTGCACGGACAGATTCCAAGGCAGTGAGAAGTGGGTTCCAGATTATCCACACACCTGTCAGCGAATACTATGACCTGCAGATAGATTTTGAATCACAGCTCCCCCCTTAAGTAAATCTCAAAACTGCAAAAATGACCACCCCCAACCTACAGTGCAACTCCAGAATTGAACAAAGTAAGGGGGCATACATAAAGAATAGGAGATTGAACAAACAGAAGTAAAACCAATCCCTTTACTCCTGAATAACAGAATTAAAGAAGACGGTGATGTGGAGGGAAGGAAAAAGTAGGGAGGGGGAAAAACTGCACAAATGAAGAAAAACCAAAAGAAGAATATAGGTTTCACATAGACCCCTCTGGAACACAAACAATGAAGAGCCCCCAGAATGACTGGTCACAGGCAACAAACCCAGACATCAAGACATTAATGGAGAGAATTTAAAAAATTGAGGAGAGACAAGAGGAAAATAGGAAGGAGCTGATGTCAGAAATAACAGCAGTAAAGAATACTGTGATGGAAATGAATAACAGAATAATAAACATGGAAAGCAGAATCAGTCAAGCAGAAGAAAGAATCTCAGAACTTGAAGACCAAAACACAGAACTAACCCAAACTGTCAAAAGCATAGAAAAGAAGCTCAAAAAGACAGAAAAAAACTTGCAAGAGATGAATGATCACTTAAAGAGACCAAACCTAAGAGTAATTGGGCTTCCTGAGGTAGAGAGAGAAACAGAAACCACACTGGAACAAACATTTCATGAAATCATTCAAGAAAACTTCCCTCATCTCATCAAGGATGAAAAAATTCAAACACAAGAGATTCAGAGAACCCCTGCAAGACAACAATTGAGAAGACCAACTCCCAGACACATAATAACTCACCTAAACAAAGTAGCTATAAAAGAAAAAATCCTAAAGGCAGCAAGAGAAAAAGGCCAGACTACCTACCAGGGAAAACCAATTAGAATAGCAGCAGATTTATCCACAGAAACACTTCAGGCTAGGAGAGCCTGGAGCCCTATCTTCAAAGTTCTAAAATATAAACAATTTCAACCAAGAATAACCTACCCAGCCAAACTAAGCTTCCTTAGTGAGGGAGAATTGAAATCTTTTCCAGATATCCAATCCCTAAGAAACTACGCTGCCACCAGACCACCTCTACAAGAAACACTTAAGAAAGTACGAACACAGAAGAAAAATAAAAAGTAACAACAACATTCTTCACAAGAGTACAGGCCAAAGATTAAAAACACACATGAACCAACTCCAAAACCCAAAGAAAGACAACAAACAAAGAGGAACAACTCTATAAGAACCTTATGACAGGTATCAACTCTTGCATTTCAATTATTAGCCTAAATGTGAATGGACTAAATGCACCACTGAAAAGACATAGAATGGCAAAATGGATAAAATATCATCAGGCAGCAATCTATTGCCTTCAAGAGACTCACCTCACTAGAAAGGACAACCACAGACTCAAAATAAGAGGATGGGAAACAAACATCAGGAATGGAATACAAAAGAAAGGAGGGAGTAGTGATCTTAATTTCAGACAAAATACCCTTCAAGCTA